CAATTTACAGATCCAAAAGTCTGAGAAAGCTGCAGCATGATTGATAGGTAGAAAACCGTGTCTAAACACAAAGTGGTTAAATGGCGAAAACCACACAGAAAGAGGAACCTCGGCAGCAGCTGTCCGCCTCTGCGTAGGACGTGTGAGGGGCTCACAGGTTGAGACAGACACCGGTTCTCAGCAGGGACCGTGGCGGCCAGAGGACAGCGCGCCCTTCCTTAGCTCAGGGAGCCAACAGCGCCGGCCCAGAACTCCGTGCTGTGAAGCAAACCGTCCAAACCGCGGCTGAAACGAAAACATGTTCAGAAGAGCAAGAGCCGAGAGAATTCGCCGCCGGCAGACGTGCTCCGCAGCAGTGGGGACGGGTGTCCTCAGGGGGACGCTGGCCTGCAGGAAGGCCAGGAGCTGGAGTGTCGGTAGAGCACCAGGTCACTGGCAAAGCCCCTCCCCTTTCCCCATAGCTGATGGCCAGACACCTGCCCTCGTCAAATGCACCAGTCAGCACCTGGGCCACACGTGGACATGTGGTCCCACGGGGCTGCCCCAGTCTCTCTGCTGTGACACGTGGTTTGCTCGGTGGCCAGAGGAGTTGCCTGTGACGGGCTCAGCTTGTGGACACACCTGGCTTGTCCCTGGGCTGCAGGGGTCACTCCCGCACGCGGCCACAATTGGCTCTGGCCGTGTTAGCCGTCTCGTTCTGACCACGGCTTTGGTCTCTGAGGCCCACCGTGGTCTTCAGCCTTGGAGCGGGCTTCCTTATTGTGGGGTCTGACTTACCCAGGGCTTCCTGGGCGACGTGCCCTCTGCCCACCTCCTGACTGATGCGCTGGTGCGTCTGCCCGTCACTCTCGTCCGTCCCAGCTGACTCAGGACGTCAGGACGCATCACTTGGCACAGTGGTCAAGACCATGGATCCGGGAGGACGACCGAGCAGCCCAAATCCCGCTCTCCGCGGGCAGCGGCACGAACGTGCACACGTCACGCAACCTTCTGCAACTTCCTCGCTGCACCTGTGTGCACCTAGGGTGTCGGCCCCGCCCTGTGCAGAAATAAATCTGCTGTTGAAGGCGCTGAGTTCGCGGCCACAGGGCTCCGCTGCCGCTCCCTGCCCCACAGCCTGGCGCTGCTGGCGCTTCCAGCCTCCTCTTTGATCTCCCCACTGCGCCTGCGATCCACCGGGACAGGCAGGGAGCAAGGAGAGGAAAGGGAAGGAGGGGCGTCCCCGTGGCGTTGTGGCGACGGCCTGGCTGTCGCAGCTCCTGCCCTAACTGCCTGGCGGTGCCCACAGTCCCCCTCTGCCGAGCTCTGCCCCGTGTCTGAGTTGAGCCCGGTCCCCTCTCCTGTGGGGCCCACACCTGGGCCTGAGTGCTGGGGGACATCGTCCTCGTCCCTCCCAGGGTGTCCAGCATGGGCCGAGGTTGTCCCACTGCAAGGGACTCTGTCCCGCCTCTGCGGTCTCCTTGGCGCCCCCTCCCCTGGCCTGTAGCGGGTCCAGGGCCCCGGCCTTCCCCCAGGAGCCGGCAGGGCTCTTCCCAGGGAAATGCCAAGCCCCGGCCCCTGTCCCTGGACCTGACCGTCACGAGGGCTGCACGGAGGGAGCTTTGGCGTCCCCGCCTGCGGCAGCAGAGGCACCGGGGGGCGTAGGGCAGCGGGGCGTGTTCTTTCTCCGTCTGGAGGCCAGAGCCAAGGTCCAGGTGTCGGCAGGGCTGGTCCCTCCCGAGGCTGGGAGGGAGAAGCTGTCCCAGGCCCCCCGACCTGGCTCCGGGTGCTCGTCAGGGTCTCTGGCAGCCCCGGCTTCTAGCAGCATCACCCCGATCTCCGAGGCTGCCTGCCCGCGGGGCACGCCTGTTCCAAATCTCCCGCTTCCACGGGACACAGTGGCCACCGACGGCTGCGCGTTGATGGGATTATGTCAGCAAAGACCCCACGTCAGACTAGGAAATGAGGCCGCGTTCAGAAGCATTAGGGTTAGGGCTCCAGTGCGTCTGTTTGGAGGGGACACGGTTCAACCCGCAGAGGGTCGGCGCGGAGCCCGCCGCCAGCCCTTGTCCGAGCTCCCACGTGGCGGCGTCCTGGCTCCCTGGACTGTGGCGTCTTTCGTGCTGGTTCCTTGGGAGGGAGGAGGCCACTCTCAGAGCCTCCTTTGCTGGAGCTCTGGGGCCGAGTCCCCGGCGCGTAAGGAGGGCCAGTACCGGGTCTGAGGGCGCCCGCTCCCGCCAGGCGTGGAGGCAGTTGCCGAAGGCAGGGCCCCGCGCGGGAGGCCGGCGCTGACTCCAGGAATGCCGTGTGTGGGCGGAGCTGGCGTGGCCCCGTGGTTCCGGCGTGGGTGCTGGGGTCGTCGGGTGTGTGTGGATTGCCTGGAGGGGCTCCACGCTCAGCAGAAGGGGCTGTGGGTGCGCAGGGTGCCGGGTGCTGCTGGGGAACCAAGAGATCCCCTGCGAGGAGACAGGCGAGCGCGTCCCTCCCGCGGGAGACTCACGTCTAGGAACCTCGGTCTCCGCGACTCTGTTGAGGAGCCGCCAAGGGGTCCCCGAGCTCAGTCGCCCGCGGCACGGAGAGCCGGAGCCCGAGACCACGAGGGCTGCCCAGGAAGAAAGGGGCTTGCCGTGGGGGAAGCCAGTGGGAGCGGGAGGACCGCCCCGACCGGGCTTTCCTAGAGGTGGAGTGAATGATGCGTGAAGTCGTGAGCGCCGTTGCGTGTTGGGACGGGCGCGGCGAGAAATCGCACTGGCACACGCGTCCACGATCAGAACTGGCAGGCGAGCCCCTTCTGGGGAGGAGCTTTCAGTGTGGCATAACCAGCAGGGTGACACCGGCCGCCCCTCAGTCTCGCGCACAGGCAGGTAGGGGGCGGGTTGCTCAGCGGGGTCCTCGCACGGCGTCCCTGGTGGGGCCGCTTGTCGTATTCTCTGAGTGGTCGATCGGCTGGTGTAAGGATCTGCAGTTACCCCAGGCTGCAGGAGGGCTCCATATTTCTGGGAAAACCACTCGAAAGGGAGGGGATCCGGGAAGCAGAAAGTTACAAAGTCTGGGCGGCAAACCTCGCTGGCCTGGGGACCTGGGACTTGGAGAACCAGGCAAAGGCGTTTTGTTCGCAGCCGGTTGCGGTGTCTGGTGCTAATGAGCGGGTGCCCGCAGGAGGAGCTCTGAGAGCGCCCGCCCCAGTGGCCCCTTCCCGTCCACCCTCCACGAACGGCCTCACCAGGCTGGCCATGCTGTCACCCTGCCCCAGGCTGCGCCCGCCTCGTACACCCCCCGGACCTGCCCAGGGCCCGTCAGCTCTGCCCAGCAGGTGGGAGAGGAAGGTTTTGCTGTTTCCTCGTCTCACGTGGTGTTTTGAAGGCCGTGCCTGATCGGGGGTGGGGGTGGCGGCCTGGAGGCCTCAGCACTGGCGCGGGGGTCTCCCCGTGAACACGCACCTCACGCTTCACGACGAGAGGCTCCGGCCTCCCCCGACCCGGCCTCTCCGAGGCGCTGGCGTCACGGGCTGGCCCGGCTGGGTGCCCACGGGTGCATCGACACGCGCCACCAGCAAACCTGCGTGTTAGCCCGGCACCGCCCGAGCACACGTGTCTGCGGCTGTCCCTGGCTTGCCGGGCAGTTGCCACGGAACAGCTCCGAACGCTCTCACGCACCTGCCCACCGCTGGGCTGCGTTTCGGCCTCGCTGGGGTCTTAAGTTGTCGGGTCCACGCGTGGGCAGTGCTGTGCCTTATGCGTCTTTGGTTGGCGGTGAGGTGGAGCCTCCCCACCCTTTCCAACTCTGTGCCGTGAAGAGTCCAAGGCCTTGGTCCGCTGATCCCCGGCGGCTGCGCTTTTCTTAGTGCTTGAGCGAGCGGGGAGTGGGTACAGTGCTGCGCACGCTCCGGCAGCTGCGAGATCGAGATCGAGGAGTCCCTGCAGGTTGGAATCCCTGCCTTCTGTTTAAAGGTCCTCGCAGGGTTTTGCTCCGTCCCCTCTTCCCTGGGCTGAGCTGAACTGGGGTGGGGGGAGGGGCTAAAGGCCCCGAAGCCCCCAGGAGGTGCCGTCTGCCTGCTCTGCTGTTCTATCTGCTCCCGGCGCTCAGGGGTTAAGTGGGGTGCTTGTTGCTGATCCTGACCCCGCTGGTCTGATGGGTGCCCTCCTGACACTCTAGTGCTAGTGGTCCACTGAGACTGCAGCTTCCTCCTCCCACACTGTCCCGAGGGTTTGCTCTGTGCTCCTCAACCAGCCTTAAGCTCCATGTAGGAAGACTGATGTCTAAGTGACTCCTGAGCCCGTTCTGGGACCCACAGAACTTGCCGGTTCTTGTGAGCACACAGGGGTGGTCCTCAAACTCTGTGGCTGGGCCAGCTCGAGGGCACCCCTCTGTGTGGGCACCGCTCTGCATGGTCTGCCATCCCGGGTCACGTGCCAGGAGCCCAGCCCGGTGCCCAGGGCTCTCAGGGCCCAACAGGGCAGGGTTTCTGCTTCTCCCCAGCTGACCTTCAGCCCGGACAGGCTGGGGACAGCAGGGGACAGGTGCCCGAGCCGCTCAGGATCTGTGCCTGTTCTGCACCCGTGCCAGCTCGGAGGCCGTCCCCTGTGGGCAGGGTGTGGCTTCGCGGTGTAGGGGAGCGGAGCACAGCCGGGTCGCACGTGCTCTCGGATCTTGCTGTCGCCCACGTGCTTTGACCTCAGAATTTGAGAGGACGTGTGAATTGTCTGGCTTCTGCGGGACAGGGGACCCACATCCCAAATCCGTGGTGGCCATGGGGGTTCGGGGGAGGAGCAGAAACACACACAACCCATAACTCCTGACACAGACATTTATTGATTATGTAGTAATTGGCCTTTGTCGTATCGGATGCAAACCGTCAGTCCCAAGGGCCTGCAGGGACCCCGTTGAGGGACGAGTGGGTCATCTCTTCCTGGGAGGGACCTGGGAGGGGTTGCATGTTCAAATCTCCCCCCAGGAGGCAGCTGTGCAGCCACTGCAGGGCGGGGAAAGAGTCAGCCAGCAAGGGCAGGGGGTCGAGCCCGTCAGCAGCTGGACCTCTGGCCCAAGGAGAGGCCACAGCAGGCCGGGCGGGGACAGGCAGGGCGACAGAGGAGGGACACGCAGGAGGCCGGGCGGGGACAGGCAGGGCGGCAGAGGAGGGACACGCAGGAGGCCGGGCGGCAGCAGCTGGGCTGGCAGGAGGAGGCGGGGGCACCGCAGGCAGGTCTGCACACGGGGCGGCAAAGGAGGGACACACAGGAGGAAGGTCTGCAGCAGGACGGCTGGCATGGGGAGGAGGTGCAGCAAGCCGGCTGGCAGCTAGACTGCTGGCAGCATGAAGAAGTCCCAGAGCAGACAGGCTCACAGCACACGGACTTGCAACAGACGGGCACACAGCAGGACTGCTGGCATGGGTTGGGGATGCAGCAAGCTGGCTGGCAGCTAGACTGCTGGCAGCATGAAGAGGAAGTGCCAGAGCAGACAGGCTCACAGCACACAGGCTTGCAGCACAC